TTCTGAACACTATAAATTTAAAAGAATATGATTCAACTGACATTCCATCATAAAAATCACACCTCAAAAAAGCTTGGTCAATCTCAAAATACTTAACATGCTTCAATATACCACAAATACTATTAAAATGATTCCAAAATTGACAGACTTTAATGTCTCCATAAAGAACTGAATCAAGCAAAAAACGATATTTGAATAAATACCAAAATTGACAAATGCCATATATATTTATAAGTATACCGAAGCGATGATCTATTTAACATCTTGACATTCAGCTCCTGCTAATTAATGAGATGAAATATGATTAACAAATATGAAGCCACACAAGACATCAATAATGACAATATTTTGTCATCATAATCATCATCATATTAATTATAATAATATATTTATCCGCTTCTTTATCTTCTGCTGACTCAAGAATTAAAACAATTAAATGATCATCACAAAGATGTTGATATTCTTGTGTGTTTGATGAAATGAAAGAGTCAGCTGTCATATAAACTATCAATTTACATAATAACAAAAAACAACATCTCTACAACATCTTAATTTGAATTACTTCATATAATGAACACATGCTCGAATACCCATAAACAGTTGAGAGAGAAAAAAGAAATGGAAAACCCGTCAATGATATCATCTAGTAAGTTAAATCATAAACTACTTATTTACTACTGATCGTCTCTCTTTTGGGTTACCAAAGCAACTTAATATAGCAAAATTGCATTTCAATTATGAATGAGTGCTATGTGAGGCATACATACCTACCTGCCTACATAAAAAGATATAATATATAACATTAATTGCGTAATTTTAAATTATGGCTTAATTTTTAGGGTTCGGAAATCTACAGTTATTAACAGTTATTAACACTTATCTACAGTTATCTACAATTTGTAACTGTAGATAAGTAACTGTAGATAATTTTTTCAAAGTGGAAAAAAACGTTATTAATTTACTGAAAATAGAGTTGAAATGCTAAAATCAGGACTGCAACAGCATGTAACAGTTCAAATAAAGCGAAATTAGGCTTCATTCAGTATTTTAAAAGCGTTTGTGTGGTGATTTAATTGAAAATTAAGAAATTTTCGCAAATATTTTTTGTTTACAAACATGTGAACAATATTTGAATTTCATATAACGGTTACAAATATTCGATAAACAAAAAGTTGATTTTTAATAGCTAATGTTGACATTTGAGCTCTCTTCATGTATAATAAGTGTATTCTATATATAAATTTATTAGAAAAGTCCCAAAAAATTGTTTGTTTACAAAACTTTGCAAATTTTTTTAACGGATTTTCTTCATTCAAAGAAATTATCTACAGTTTACTAACTGTTGATAACTGTAGATTTTGTGTAGATAATCTAAAAGTTGATAACTGTAGATAATCAGTTAGTGGTTTTCCGAACCCTATTAATTTTATTGAAATTATTGATTAATAAAAATGATTTTCCACATAAAGTCATTCTTCATGGTTCTTCACGTTCTTCTCGGATAATAAAAAGAAATCTTTTACTTCCATGGGAGTCGTTGGCTTATTCCGTTTTACATTTTTAAGATTAGTGAGAAGTGCCTGGCCCATAAAATGGAGGGATTTTTTTACCTTGTATTGTTACAAAAGGGAGGGGGGGGGGGTACAAAAATATTATTTTTAAAGAACGTAACAAATGAATAGTCCGACACCGAATAAAAGCTAATAATATTTTCATAGCACATATTTTTTGCTCTTTTCGTTCCTTCTCTTCTTCCCATCGAGACCTTCTTTTCCTCTTCTTACTGCCTTTCAATTGAAGCGATTAAATGGAAACGTTTTTATCATTTCTAATAGTCGACACACCTTAACCGAAAGATTAAATCTTAACTTCTTATAGATAACCTCATTTAACCCTCTTACTAATTTATTTTCATTGTGCAAAGCAGATGTTTAATTTAATTAAACGTTTTTTTTTCTTCTTCTTTTAATTCTTTCTTCAACTTTTCTGTTGCTGTTGAGTTGTGGATACATCAACAAGAACTTTATAATCATATCATTTGAAAATTTATTCATTCACTATATCGTGTGGTTTCTTTTTTTTAGTTATGTGTAAATGAATAGTGATTACGCTAAATGAAGGAACGACGTTGCAAAAAAAATATTTGTTTGTAACCTCACCAACAATCACTTACTTCATTCTCTAATTTATTGGATTTCGTTTTTGTAAGAATGATATGAGGGAATGATGAAATTGATGTGATTGTCAGTGACTCTGCAATTTTATCTTCATCTTCTTTATTGCGGTCATTATTCAATTTAAGTATCAATGCAAATTTTATTTTCAACAGCTATAAATTTTTCAAAATTTTAACGGTCTTCTAAAATTTAAAATTCATGTTACAAAATTTTTTGAACTTTATTCAAATGAAAGATCTAGTTCAAATTTATTTTAACAGCTTTTTAAATTGAAGTATAATTTGTCGTAAAATTTCAACTGCTTCCATAAATTCAAATCTTACACACAGGAATTTATGAACTTCTCACCAAAAAAAAAAACTGATTCTTTTCAAAAATAAATTGACAGTTATGAAAAAAGTTCCTCATTATCTCGTCCATAGCCACTCTCGCTTCAATGTTTTGTAAACTGATGATTAATAAAATTAATTATCTTAATTTTTTACAGTATCATTTCCCTTGTCCGACACCACACAAAAGGTCCTCTTCGTCTATTGAAAAAAAAAGAAAAATGTAGGAACCAAAAAAGGAAGGGAAAATGGTATGAATGAAGACTATTAATTTAAATTCATGCGTACGAGAGAGTGAATATATATAAAAATATAATAATATCAAATAATAAAATCATTGAGTAAATTTACACCCTCGTTTTTGTGCAGAAATGTTTTATTGTTGTTAAGTTCATATCTGGCTATGGCTATGTTGTGTATATACATACGAACATTCTTTCTTATTATGGAACATTCACACCCGTAATCTCTAACATTCACTCAACTCTACGGCTTGCTTGCTTGCTTACTCGAGTACTCGCTCGCTCGTTTTTTATTGTTATTGTTGTGTGCTCCTATTCCATTCTTTATAATGATGGAAAAATATGTAAGAAAAGTAAGTGAGTAAGTAAAAAGGCAAAAGGCAGCAGTAATAAGAATATAATATAAGAAGCATACTGAGAAATATATATCAACAATTTCATGAAAAGTGCGGATACACACGTATATTATGCCAACTAAAGAGACTTAAATCGTGTGTATAAAAAGAGGGGAACTAAATTTGTGGAAAAATAAAATGTTTATGGTTACTACAAGGGAATTATTTAGGACTTACATTTAAGCTCTGGAAATTTTCTTTTTTATTGCCGTTTTTATATTCAATTGATTGCAATTACGTAAACAATATTTTTTTGCCTCTTCTCCTTTAAGTGAATTCTGTTTTATTTTCTCGGTATTTGCTTACTAGCTGGCTGCATTTCTTCGAGTGTCAAGTAGAATTGTCTTAAGAGTTTTTCAATTTAAAAAATAGAGTTCAATATTTCAACATTTTCAAAATAATATTAACGTACTTTTAAAATTTAAAAAATAACGAACGAAAATTTTTTGAAAATTTTGAACTTGACATGTTTAAATTTTCAATTCCGTTGGATTTTAAGTCTTTTCAGTCAAATTTTTGAACTTAACAGAAAAATTCAAAAACTTCAATTCCGTTAGATTTATATGTTCAATTACGAATTCTTTATCGTTTAATTCAATATTCCTGAACAGAATACTAATTTTAAACAATTCAATGAAGTAATTCAATCCCTAAAAATCGAAAGACAGAAGAAGCAAAATGCGAGAAAAAATAAATAAATAAATAAATTGTAAAACGTCACGCTCGGCAAAATGACTTGAAAAAAATTAAATTGAAAGCATATGGATTTGATTTTCGATTGCTATTGTAAATTTTCATTGATTTAATTAAAAAATTCCATTCTGTGAACGAATCACACAAATTAGTTTGCAGGTTTTCACTTGCTGCGCTGTATTTATTTGCTTTAGCACTTCTAATATCAATTCAATTTGTCAAGGATATCTCTTTTTATATCAACCCATGAGCAGTCGCTATGTTAAATGTCAGTGCAGTGAATTTGAAGTAACTAAATTAAAAAAATTTCATTTCTATTTTTTTTTGTATCGCAATATATTTAACCCTCTTATCACATTTTTTACATTCTTTCTAAACAATTTTTTTATTGCACTTTTCTGCCAGTTTACGATTACAAATTTTTGAATCTATAAAAATGCACAGTTACAAGGGCGTATGCAGTATGACTGAGGAGGGGAAGGGGGTGCTAGTATCAAAATTTTCTAGCCATAAAGAAGAAGAACATTAGGGGAGACCCCTAGCTACATCCCAGCACAAACACAATCGAGTATCTACATTTTTCACGATTCAATAAAACATAAATTTAAGAAAGGCAATTCGTCTTCCTTTCATCCATTTCTTATCATTTAAATCACATACACTGTAAAGTCGGATTTCACACCAAAGTATGTGCGAAAGAATATTTTTCTTGTGTTGTATGCAAAATGAAAACGACATCTTGATGCCTTGCGCAAATATTTCTCTTACATATGTACGTTCCACCCTCTTAACTTTGTGTGTTTTCCACTTCAGCAGTATTATACTCCCCTCTCTAACACCCTTAACATTTTGAGTAAATGTTTTGAGGGATTTTATATTTGATTAAATTGAATAAGAATCATGTTTGCGTGAAATTATCTTAATATTATCAAAAGAAAAACACGTGTTAATGTTTAGATTAAAATACCAAACATCAGGCCATGGCATGGATGGTAGGAGGAGGAACAGAGGAGAAAATTGCTAATAACAAACAATATTAATTTAAAGTAATAAAGAGTTTTAAGTTGAGTGTGAGATTTAGGCATTATTGTGATACGCTACATTATTAGCTGCTTATTTTATTACTCATGAATTCTAATATATATTTTTTTTATTTCTTTACAGGGCGAAGTAAGTGGCAACAAAATTAATTTCTTTTAATGAAATTTTTATCATTATCATGCAGTATGTGAGTTCTTTGATAGGGATGGGGGTTCATGCTAGGTTATTTGCTGACAAATTTGTTCATTTTGAATTTATTTTAATTAAATTTCACTCAATCAATTTTGATAATTTAAGCGAGTAAAAACAAATTTGAATATTTATCAAGAAAAATTAAACTTTTTAAAAGTTCTAAGTGATGAAAAAATATTAAAAAATTTAAAATTTTAAATTTGGATTTTAACAAATATTTGAAATTTCGATTTATATTTTAAATTAAGAGTTTAAATTTTAAATTTAAACCGGATTTTTTGAATTTGAATTTTGTGCAGAATTGTAAGATTTTGAAACATTGAATTTCAATTTAAATTTAAATAAAAGTTGAAATTTTAAACTGAATAACTGTAAAAGAAGATTAAAATCAAGGGTGTGGAACTGAAGAATTACATTTTGATCATTTTTGATCATTTTTTGATCATTTCATCAATACCACACCCTTGATTAAAATTCAATAAATATTTCAAATTTGAAAGTTTTACAAAAAAATTCAAATTTGAAAAATCATTTAAAAGATATAAAATTCTAAATTTGAAATTCATCAAAAATAAACGAACATTAAATTGTTTAAATGTTAGGACAGTTCATGCAAAACTAGATATCATCATGCAGACTAGTCCGCACCCCATTTGTTATAAATAACTCATCCTTAAATGCTTGTTTAAAATTAATTATCAAATTATTCCTGCTAGAATGGAGAATTTTATGGAAAATTGAGTTTATTTAATTTTATTATTACTAAAATTCACAATTTAAATATTTTATTATGATCATTATGAGGCATTGAAGATTTCATTAAAAATATTGGTAGTGCTGTTTAGCTTGTCTGTAATGGATAATCATTTTATACAATTTGTATCTGCTATAATTGATACGATTGTTTACTTTATATAGATCCAAGATTAACTGGAAATTCCATTTGCAAGAATTGTGATTTATTTTTTCAATTTAAGAGTTTAATGAGCCTTTCATTGCTTACCCATTGAAATAGCTTTTTTTGTTGGATTGACTATTTTCTTTCCTATTCTACTTTGTATTTCTGTGCATTTATAAAGTAGATTTTTTGCTATTTTAATGAAAATGTAAGCCAATTTTCATAATATTTGCTCACAGATTTGCACAAAATTAGATACTTAGTAACATTAGGTGCTTAATGAGGTGTATAATGATAGCTGATCAATATTAAAAAATTTATTTTCAATGGTGCAAATTGAAAAGTCATTATAAGTCAACGTCAATCAGAAATTTTTAATGAGTTCATTTTTATTTCAACAGTGCTTATTAAGTTTAAATGTTATTAAAAACTTTACTAGAGGCAGGAAAAGTTAAGCATGAATTTCTCAAATTCCATAAAGCACTGTGCATTTAGCAACATTATATATTCATTTTCAGTTATTAAACTTAATACTTTAATAACATATCGTGAATTAATTTTTTAACTTAATACTTTAATTATACATTTAGTTCCAATATAAAATGCACATGTTTATTATATTTAATTTTTATTTTAAAACAACAAAAAAATTTTATGGAGCAATGGATATGCAGGTTGAGAAAAATCTAAATTATATTCAGATTGATGACTAAAGTATGAATTTTATGTGACACTTTTGAGACAGTTTTTAACGCTACCGGCAACAAGTTGCGATCTGGAGATTACTAAGAGTTAATTATTATTAAAGCTAGGCCATTTTTGAGGAGGTTCTATTAAGTTTTAATTGGATATAATGATCAATTTGGTCCAAAATACCAAAAAGCAATATTAAAGTTTCAATTTTAAAACATTTGACCTTCTAGAAATTTATTATGCTACAGACTTTACATTTTATCACTTGGATACATCACTGGATATTACAAGCAAAGATCCTAGCAACTTTAAAATCATTCGTGTGTTTTTTATTTAAAATATAAGGACGATGCCGTCTTTCTAAGCAATTCCAATGCTTAGCAGACTTAAAATCAATTTTATGATGCTCAAAAAAATCCAAAAAGCCAAGCGCATGATCAATTTTTTAAGCAATTTTAAGTATTTTCCACGAATGCGACAATGAAATTCTTACAAATTCAAAAAATCGTCAAGTTTAGATTTTTTTAATTAACAATTCCGCATTCCAAATTACAAACATTTCTGACAGCCAATTATGTACGAGACATGATATCGCCATGAACATGCAAAATAGTAGTAACATGACGCACAAGCTTAATGCTTTCTGAGAAATTAATAGAAACCATAAATTCTCCTTAAATATTTCTAATGAAAATCCGACCATAAACTAAGCGATATAATTGATACAATCGTTATATGACCCCCTTAGCTATACTAAAACTGTCATTTTGAGGGAAATTTAATAAATTTATTAAGTCACCGTAATTTTTGTAATCAAGCTACTGCTAATTGTATTATATAAGAAATTCCTCAATTCTCCTTAATTTCTAGTTTTCTATGTCGTTTTGTGGCACAAAAAGAGGAATTTTTCTTATTCCAATTTCAACCATATTTAATTGCTATTATTTCGAATGAAATTGCTTTATTTAAATACATTTTGAATGCAAATATACCTATCATGAAACCTCAATATTTTTTTGTGAAGAATTTTCGTTAAGGAGCAAATTGTTATTTCCACCCTCGAACGCGTCAAGTGAAAGAAATTTTTACATACTTTACGTTAGTAATATTTTAAGCTATACATGCTTATGTTGTACAACAACACAAATATATACAGTTAGTGAATGAAAAAGTAATTTTGAAAACCCAAAAATTACTTTCAAGAGTTCTTCAAAAGCAATTATAGCATTCTTTAAACTTTATTAAGTATTTACGAGTGGAAAAATAATTGTTTGAATATGTCTAAAAAGAAAATTCATTGGCAATGTTAATGGTAGCTAATGTTGTGAGTTTGGAATAATTTTCTTTCCCATTTTCATTTCTTAATATTTTTCTGTGCTGCTCATTTCTTGGGAGTATAATACACTTGTAAAATTAAATTAAGGGGGACAATGTGGTTGAAGGAAAGTTTTTTTTTGATTAAATTAAAGTAAATAATCATTTAATTAGGGTCTTTTCATAAATGACGTATAACTTATAGGGTTCCAGAATCCAATCCTTAAGAAGACTTTGCGTATGAAATTAAATTGAAGGCTTTTCCGAGGCTCCTTTACCTTAGTTAAAATCAAATTTTGATTATGTCTTAAAGCGCAGCACAATGATTTTAAATTCTAGAGGAAGGTGCCCCGAATAGTCCTAGAAATAGGATCCTTAACTGTTTTAAGGTCTTAACAATTTCAATTCTTATAATTTTTTTTAATTATCATGATATTTAAGGATCCCCAAAATTATTTCAATACCCCCAAAGCAAATTACCCCCTATCTTCACAAAAGTAAATCGAACTGTAAATGGTTCCTTACGCAATTATGTTTCCTTAACAGAAAATTCCAGTTGTAAATTAATTTTCTGTTCCTTACGAAAACGTTATTGAGATACAAAAAGAAAGAAAAAAAGAAATTATTATTGCATGAAAAATGGAAATTAGAAAATTGAGTAGTAAAATGTTAATATCTTTTACTCAGGTCCAAGAGTTAAGAAGCCAAAAAAGCCACCCTCCGAAGTTGCTCCAAAAGACGATGAGAAAAGACCACGCACAGCGTTCTCTGGTGCTCAATTAGCACGACTTAAAGTAATATATTTTTTTTTTTCTTATTCCTTTTCTTACTCATTTTATTTACATTTTACTTCATTGTATATAATGACTCTTCTTCCTACAGCACGAGTTCAACGAAAATCGATATTTGACTGAGAAACGACGACAGCAACTGAGTGGTGAATTGGGCTTGAATGAGGCACAAATCAAAATATGGTTTCAAAATAAAAGAGCAAAAATTAAGAAATCGTCGGGAGTGAAGAATCCGCTTGCATTGCAGCTAATGGCACAAGGTTTGTACAATCATTCGACCGTACCATTGTCGAAGGAAGAAGAAGAGCTACAGGAGCTTCAAAATGGAAATTGATATGTCCTGTCATATAAGTATTTGGATAGCTTATTTAAACTTTATGTATGTTTTAAGTTATTGAGATATCGATTCGTCATATGCATGATTGTATGAGTGAATGCGGAGCTTATTAAATGGCATTATTTTTTTAAAATGTATCCAGGCAGGGGTGGTAGTTAGGAACAAAGCTGGGGTTGGTTTTATGGCTACTCGGGAATCGCTTAAAAACCGACCCTTGATTTGATTTTGTACATTGTAGAAAATTGCACTAAAATTCAAATTTTGATGGCTTAAATATATTGAAAAATTAAAAAAAAAATAAAAGCAGTGCCACACCCCTGTATATCAAAGATAATCTTTTTTCAACGCTGCATTAAATTAAAATATATGAAAAAAACCTTCACAGATAATTTTTTTTTGCATGTTATACTAAATTGAGCTTGTAATAATGACTTTGTGTGTTAATTTGATCTAGCAAGAAATAAGAAAACAAACAAACATACAACAAGCAACATTTAAAAAGTCTCGCATTCATAGATCACAAAAAATTGCTATTCTTAGCATAAACCGAACTGTTTACTGAATAGAAAATATTAATAATATAAAAAAAAAATCTTATTGCATTTTATTTCTTGTAAATAATATACAGTTTCACGATGTCTTTAAGACTTTTTAACGAATGTGTTAATTAATTATATTTACTCGTAACTGAATCTATTGAACAATATTTGAACACATATGAGCAGACTATCAATTTAAAGTGAATATTAATGGTTGGCATGAGAAGAAGTTTTATTAATTCAAAACTATTTGTCAGAGATTTAAACTGATGGTCTAAAATTGAATGTAATGATTGATAGGGGAAACAAATTCATTTTTGGAAGTGAAAAATTGATTTGATGACAAATTCAAATTGAGTGCTTAAGGTTGCGTCAAAATATTTAATTGCATCTCAAAAATTCTTCACCTAGATAACCTCCATGTGTATGTATCTCGTACCGACTAAATTGTAGTTTTTATGTCACTCAGAGACTTCAGACTTTACGATCAGACGGCATATTATAATGTTTTAACAGCTCGGACAGTTAAAACAATTTTAAAAATTTTAATTAAATACCTTGTAAGATGCAACACTGTTGAACAAAAGGAATGAAATAAAGAGATCTACATAATTAAAATTTGTTTACTAAATTAAAGTTACAAGAATTTATTTGTTGATTAATCGTCGTAGCGACACAAAAATTCATATAATCTGTCAGGCGGCAAAAATTGTGACAAGATGAAATGCAATCATTTGATTGTCCTCTTCAAAAAAATATACTTTTTCATGAAAACTAATACAATTTTATGACTCTTTTACCCTTTCGGAAAGTTTTTAATTTAATATCTTCTTTTTATTGCAAGATTTGTGTGGAATTTGATATTATAAAATCTGATTTATCTGGGGATGTATTTGTAGATCATTGTTCAAAAATCCAACAAAAAAAATCAATTCAAAACCAATTCATTACAATGATACCATTTATTATTACTTGAGAGCAGTGTTGTCCAAAGTTTTTTAATTTCATTTACAAAAAATTTCTACGGCACACAGTTGAGACAACACCGCTTTAGAGGGTGTGATATTGAAAAATTAAAAACAAATCCTATTTGAATTGATAACAGTCTGGAATAATAAACCATTAACTTTCTCAAGCTTAGTTCAATACCCTTAATCACTAAAATAATTCCTAAAACAAATTTTGATAACCTGCATTCTGAAAAGAACTTCATAAAGTATTAAAGTTTCATCTAATCTTAAACGAATCTTCCAAAAACCTAAATTTCCAAAAATGACAAATTCCTGTTTAAAAAAGAATCCCAAACTTATAATGGAGAGTCGCATAAAACAAAAACCTTGATGTAGTCAATTTTTCTAAACGTTTTCATTTTCTCTTCTATTCTAATAGACTCCAAAACTATGACCGAAAATTTCAGCAGATTATGATGCATCAAGAAAGAAATAAAAAACCTGAAGTGCCCAAAAAAATCTTTGATCATTATCTTACTTAAAAATTCAATCATCACTATTAGTTTCTATTGGCTAGAGAATCTCATCGCACAATTTGTCATTTTCATTTTTGATTTTAAACACAAAAAAAATCTCCAAGCAATTTTAACTTCTTCTTATGTTAATCAAAACATAAAAAAAGAGATTCATTAAGAACAGAGTTTAATGACTCCTTGATATTCGCAGAAATGTGTGCAAAAAGTGATTAGGGTGGGTTCTTAAATGACGTCAAGATATTTCAATTAAGGAGAAGAGCGATTGGAGTAGTTTAATCTAATTTTTAACAGAATTAATGTTTTACAAAATCATAAAAACCCAAAATTTTAATAACACGTCATTTATCAACGACCCTAATCACTCTGTAGAGAAGAATTTTTGTGTGTGTATAAATAAACAATTTTAGACTATCAGGAAATAATCAATAATAAAAGAAATTTAAAGAAGAAAAATTTAAGAAAAAAAATCACAAATTATTTTCCATTCTATAAGAGTTAAAAAGGCAAAATTAAACTACTGTATACTGATCAAAAAAAAAAAAGAGAGTAAAAAGTAAGCAAAAAAAAGCAAAAATATTTTATTACATGAACGTGAATGCAACGAACAACAGAAAGAAAATAAAGATGAAAATAATTATAAAGTAAAGCTTCCCTTAAAATAAAAAATAATAAAGTAAAAACCTTTTTATTCATTGCTGTGATAATTTTATAATGTTAATGAAAAATGAATTAGATTAAAATAATAAAAAATGAAAAAATCAAAAAAGCATCCAAAATTTTTGTTGTCTAATTTTAATGACATTTTCAGAGGCAAAGGGCGCCATCGTGTCTAGCATTAAATTGCAAAAAAAGGTAAAGAATTGAGCACAGCAAAAATCTCTCGACTTTTGCTTGTTATGCTGTTTTTTTTTGTTGGATCTGTGACAGAAAATATTTTTACGATCTTGCTGATCTGTTTCGATTTTATCCACCTATATGTATTAAATTGACTTGTGACTCTCTCATAAATATCAACGTTTTGTCTTTATTCATTTCATATGGCTGGAAATATTTTCAGCATGTTGTGTTTGACAAGGCTTAGAGGCTCTTTAAAGAATTTGTTTTGCGAAAAATTTCAGGTTCAAATTTTACTGAAGGCAAATCATTTAAAAATATTATGCTTCTCAATTTTACTGAACACACAAAAATAATGCAAAAAAAAATCTTCTCATTAATGATCCAAAACATTCTGCTTTTTTAATTTACTGAGGGCTAAATTTACTAGGCTCATTAATGATGCAAAAACACCATGCTTCTTTAATTTACTAAAAACACAGAATTTTAGAAAAATTTCAGATTTAATTTTTACTAAACACAAAAATAATGCAAATATTTTCTGGTTCTCAAAATACTGAACACACAAATGATGCAAAACTTTTTTGTTTCAAAATTCACTCAAATTTTTCTTCTTTTTTGGGAAAATTTCAGGTTTAAATATTACAAAACGCACAAATGATGCAAACATTTTCTGTTTCTCAAATTAATGAACACACAAATGATGCAAAACTTTTCTGTTTCTAAATTCAATCAAATTTTTATTTAATTTTTATCTTGAACAAAAAATTCTTAAGACAGATTTGAAATTTAAAAAACCCCGTCGAGTAAAATTATATAATCAATATTAGAGCACACGAGTGCCAACGCCTTAAAATTGAGTTAATTCACGTAATGCAAGACCCAAGTAACTTGTTTTTATTTATTTATTAATTTATATTTATATGTATCTGCACATCTATTTATTTTATGCTTTAAATCCGCATCTGTAACTTAACATTAGCTTTTTCTACGTATTCAGCGATTTTTATTTGCAAGAAACGAAAAAAAAAAATAAAAAAAAAAACTGTGGAGAAGAACAATTCTCAATTTTAATTTGCATTTACGTGTGTTGAGTATTTTTTTTTCTTCTCTCGTTCCTTCTCTCTCTCTGTGTTTTCTTCTGTGTACGTCGTTTCATTCAACTTGGGTGGTCTGAAAGAAAAACATATAAAGAGAAATGATTGTAAAGCAAAAGAATTCGCTTAAAGTTTCCGTGATTCAGATACTGCAAAATACTTGAATTGAGAAATGCATTAAGCATTTAATTTTATAAATTTTTTTTCTCTTAAAAGAGATTTTTAGCGCGTTGTTTTTATGTTTTTATAAGGGCAAATTAAACCTCTACAAAGTTCACATATGTGGGATGACGTCAAAGAATTTTTGTGCATAAATTATTCTCGTTAATTATCTAAATTTAATCACTAATGGCCCTCGAGGAATTTTACAATAATTGATTACAATCATCAGCATGTTTATAGAAGTTAGGACAAAAAAATAAATACGAAGACAAGTCACTACATTATGATTCTACTGTTCTTTCTTCTATGTTTCTTGTTTTTTTTTTTCTTTTTCGTTTACTTTATAAGAGATTCTGACTTTTGGATGTATTCGGCTTTTTCATATAACTTAAATTTCTTATGCCTTAATAGCTTTTCCTTAACTTTAAAATTTATTATCATTTATTGTTGTTGATGTTCTGTCTGATTTCATACATCAAACACTTGAATTCGTTTATGACACATAATTTTGGATTAGGAATTAATTTATTAAGATGACAATGTTTGGACTTAGTCTTTGTGGCGCCATCTAGACATGAATTGGTATGATACCTATGATCATTTACATAAAGTTAACGATATTAATTCCTTATACGTTCATTATTAGCACACATTTATTTTATTTTAATCAAAATCAATAACATAAAGGGTTAAGGCAATCAAAGCACGAAATTGCTGTAATCCAACGAATCTGTGTTAGTGCGTGTCTCATAATGAGACGTTTTGTAAGGTGTTTTTTAAAATTGTACAGAAAGCTTAATCCTCAATTAAAAATAATTAGATTTTTTATTAAAATGGAAAGTCGTTGGTATCGATATTTAGTATTGTGCGAAAACGGGAAGATTTTCAATTAAAATTTGTTATGATTATAATCCTTAAAAGATTATTTTAGGTTAATTTAGTCAATTTTTTAAAATATAAGTGAATTTCTCATTGATAATAATTAATTTGATGTTTTCAATATCCCGGAGAGTCCTTAACAAATGCCAGATTTCTCTAAAGTTTCCCGGAATATTCTTATTTTAGCCAATCTAGGCTCAAAGGTCTGTTTTACAAAGATTTTAAAAGGAAGTCTGATTGTAATCTGGAAGGAGGGTCTTGCCATCTGAGTCTGAAGCTGTTATCTAAGGTTGTCGTAAACAACTAATCCTAGACTCAAATAAGTTTTCTTTAAACCTCATATTGTAGTCAGTGGCTTTGCTAGAGAGTACAATCATGACTCTGGTTCAGGGGAATCAATGAAATCTTCAAAAATCTCATACAAATGAGTACACATTTTTGGTCTGGATCCTGAGGAACGATGTCCCTACTGGAACTGGAAACTAGCTTTTGGTTTTCCCGGTTTTCCTCAATTACAGCAAAATCATAAGTGTCAACCAATTTTATTCATATGACATGTCTCAATTGTATCAAACGCTTTTAAATATTTACAATAACAATGATTCACGGGCATCAAGGCATTCAATTTCAAAAAAATCTCATATTCAATATAAATATTTATTTATTTTTCTCAAATTTCAAGTTCGCTTCAATGTTTTCAGTTCCCAAAAATTCCCATTCATTTAATTTTTTTTCTTTAATTTAATAGGTCAAGTGTCAACCTTATAGTGAATTTTTTGTCAGTAGCTTGAGATAAAATCTTCAAAATAGATGATTATTCTTGTATATTAAAGCAATTTTAAAGAATTTTCCGGATTTCCATAAATGTTAATTAAATTTGAAAGGAAATGTCAAATCAATTAGTTTGCAATTGTCAGTAAAAATTTTAATCCACAATTTTTAAGAAGCTAAATGCTGTATTTGCATGTTTAAAAGAAAGTTTATTAAATGATCATGAAAAAAAAGTACAAAAATCAGCATTTATTTAGGAGTAAATTAAATTATGGAAATTTCCTACTGGCAAATGTTTCAGCACAGATTAAGTAGCATCTGACGACTCTTAATGAATCATATCTATTTGATCAAGAAATTGTAGGTAAGCTTCCCATAATTTTATGTCATTTTTTTGCCGTATCGTTAAATCCTCAATGCTTGTGCGCGGAGCGTATGACTTGTGGGTATTTTTCAAACATAATTGAAATGCACAATCACGTATTTATCATAATTTTTAAATTAATATTTTTACATAAAGTCACACTCTCAGATCCCTTTTGTACTTTATATTTTTTATAAAATAATTTGATGAGTTTGTTTGTTTGCTGAAAACTTCTTCTTTACTTTGGGTGCTTGAGATATTAAACATAAATACTTGTGTCTCGTTTGTAATAACAATGAGATAATTCATGGGTACATATAAAATATTGTTTACATTACACAACGATTAAATTTTCTAACAGTGTGGAATTTTTATGATGCACACATGCTGAATTAATTTATGATTTTTGAAAATTTAACGGTTGTTTTGAATTTTGAACACTTAATTTGCATTTTTTTTACATGGCTTAGAAATTTATTTTCTGTTTGTGGCTACAAATTAGGAACTGCTGAAAATGATCAGATATTAAAGATTAGTTCCTTTTATTAATAGCAAAAAAATTAAAGTATTTTTAGTAGCTTGACAAGATTTAAATTTTGTGATTTCACAATTGATAAATTGAGTAAGGCTTTTTATGGAACATTCCAGAATGATGCTGAAAACTGTCAAAATATTTATAAATAATGGAAGAGGCCGTACGTTTATTACGTTCGGCTTTTAGGGGGGTTAAAAAATAAACGAACAGAAGCCAGATTTTTTTTTTGAAATTTTAAAGATTTATTTTTTGACTCAATTTATTAATTTTAAAAATTATGAAATAAATAAAATGTTTTTGAAAAAGTTAATTTAAAAAATATAACGAATTTTATTTCAAGCTAAAATGTCAAAAAAATGATTCAAACTTCCTTCAAACGTTAATATTCGTCGCATTCCATCTTGAAGAACTCACCAACTCATTTCGCATGCGTGCCGGTGCTGAAACAAAAAGGACGTGCAAAAAAATCATTTCGATAATGCGAAAAAAGAATCAAAAATTCAATGATTGTAACTTTTTCTTTCTGCTTTTATTCTCTCTGTTGTTTTTTTTTAAATTTATTATACAGTCTTTTGTTCAAAAATCTAAAATTTATTGCACTTAATTAACTTTAAAATAATAATAAGCATGATTTAATTACATTCAAAATATAGATACAATGTTGAATGAAAAGAATTGCAGCAATTTAACAAAGTATGACAATAAATCTTTAATACCTGATTTGAAGTAATTAATTATATACAGGAGGAGGCTTATCTATCTAATAAAAATGATCCTTATAATCATGTGAGTGTGTGTATGCTCATTATCATACTGTGATATGTGGCTCTGCATAAAGTAATCTTTATGATTAACACTCGAGAAATATTTAAATGATATCAGCGAGAGCCGTGGCACAAAAAGCCATAATGATAATAATAATAATAATATATTTTTTAAATGTAAATTTACAGAAAACACACGATAATTTTTTTTAAATCACATAATAATTTATCATACACATGTGAATTATGACGTTAAGCAAATCATAGTCATACAATATAGATTTTACTATTTTTTCTTCTTTTTATCTAAACTTTGATTGTAGTGTTAGAGCTTCCAAAACGATTTTATGAATTTTTAAATTTTTTCAAATTTACTTTATGAAATTTTGAAATGTTCTTCGAACAATTAGTTCTAGTTTCAAAAATCAGATTTTTCCAAAATTCAAAGCAAAAATAACGAAGTTTTGAACTCCTTCAGTTGAATTTGAATTTGGAAAGTTCAAATTTTGAAAAAAAAAAAACGGGATTTTTTGAATTCAGATATCTTTTAAAACCATTAGCTTTTGAACTTTTGAAAACCGTTAAATTCCTCAAAACTATTTCTTCATTTAAATCCACAAAAACCGTAAACATTGGAAACCCTATGCTTTTAAAAAAAACATTAAAAAAGAATCAAACCAAATCCTATCTGTTTTGATCTAATAAATTTCATCCTTAATACGCATTATTATATTATTTATCTAACCTCAACAATATAATATTTTAATATTATAATCATTATAATGCTTTGTTCAAGATAAAATATTGTATTATTCTTGTGATCTTCTACTTCTATCAATTGTCACGAAATTGTTCATAAAAAATATGAAATGAAGAGGAAGGAGCCAATAATAAAAATGAACATTGTCATTATTATTAGTTGAAATTTCCATTCATCCTTAATTCCAATTCTTCCTCTTCCTTTGTCAACGGAACGGTTGTATGATTGTACAATCCTTGTGCCATCAATTGTATTGCAAGAGAGTTCTTCACTCCAGATGTTTTCTTTATCTTTGCCCTTTTATTTTGAAACCAAATTTTGATTTGTGCCTCATTCAAGCCCAGTTCAGCACTCAGTTGATGTCGCCTCTTCTCCGTCAAATATCGATTTTCATTGAATTCTTTCTGTTATTTGGATAGAATAAAAATAAATTGGAAGCCATTATGAAATGAAAAAAAAAAATCCATAAAGGAAGCAATTAGTGAAATATATTTTTACCTTTAGTCGAAGGAGCTGTTCATTTGAGAATGCTGTTCGGGGTCTCTTTTCGTCATCCGTTCCTTTCTCCTTCTTCTCTTTTGGCCGACGGTATCTAGGACCTTGGAAATTAAGTGTAAAAAAAGGATTCTCTGTTAGAAAATATTGTCGTCATGTAATTGATAGGCACAAAAAGGTAGAAACAAAACAAAAAAAAATCTTTAACAATAAGATTGAAGTGATTTTTTACGGTCAGCTTTTAAAATCCTAATTTTTCATGTCGAGAGTTAAAAATTGACTATTAAAGCAGTAAGAGACATGTTGAGACAGATTGTGTAGGTGTATAATTTTGATTTGTTAATGTTGCCCATAAATAACACTTTCAATCAAAATCGAGATAAAACATTTATTTTTTGAGGAAAATTAATGCATTTTGTCTGCTACTGAAAACATGAAATTAATCAACTGATAATCTCTCGCTTTCAATATTCTGTCATCAAAAAAATCTCTTCACAGACTTGTCCTTAAAACTGTTTCTATTTACATGAAAATGCCATACACTCATTTATATGATGACATGAAAATTCGTAAAGTAAATAGAGTGAAATAAGCCCAATAAATCAATCAACAATGTTCGAGTAAAATATGCTCTTTAATAAAATATTTATGGCAACAAATAATAATTTTTCTTTCTTTTTGTTCAGTCTGGGATGTAGTTAGGGATTTATTAAGGGGGCTCCGACCTCCCAGGAGGTATGCAACATCCCACTTATAATAATCAACTTTCTAAAATAGAATCTGAACTCTCGAAAGGGAATCTGATTTCCCTAATGAAGATACGACTATCAGAATAAGAAATCTGACTTTATAAAAGAAGATTTGTCGTTCAGACCAAGGATTTGATCTCTAAAGGAAAGATCAGACCTTCTAAAGCAGTCCCCACTCATAAAAATTATTCCAAAAGTTTTTCCAAATCAAACTTAAATCTCCATGGGGGTCCAGACCCCCCCTAGCTCCACCCATGTCATTTCATTCACTCATTTCGAGCAAGCAGAGAAATGCAAATCATAAAACTATTTTTTATTACCCATCATAAACAAGTAAATACATAATTAGCAATAAAAATATATTTTCTTTGCGTTTTTTTTTGCATAGAACTGAACCTCAACATGACTCTATAGAGAAAATAAATAAATATGGATAATGGTTTAAAGTTTTATTATTTATAATATTTCAATGATACCATAGAAACATAACATTGTTAGTGACAATACTTTTAACGTCTTTATTTAAATGAATGAAAAATACAACAAATAAAAAAGCAAAACAAAACAAAAATGTTGAGTGAATGAATAAACGAAACAATTGTTAAAGCAACTCATTTTAACGCAAAGTGTCTATAATTAATTTATTAGCAAGTGTTTGTCTCTTTTTCACAATATAAAAAATACATGAACATGTGAGACATTCATAATGAAATTCATGTCGGTTTACTTGTTCAGTTCATGTCTCAGTTCAATTCAGTTTTGTTAAACAGAGTTGTTGATGATTAATTGAGATGAAAGGAGTCGATTTTACAGGGTTGGAGATTGAAATGATTAGTTATTGATAATTTGCTGAAGAAAATGAGGTACATAAATGGTAATAATGACTGGGAAACATGAGCTTGTATAATTTCTTATTAAGTCGTGGAACTTTAGCTCTTGTTATGTTTTCGTTCTGTAAATGAGTTTGTGGTTAGGCTTTGATTCATGACTTTTGTCATTTTAAAGTATATTTAAAGGTGGTTTGTAGTCGGGTATGGTCCAATGTATGAAAAAATTTACTTTAAGTAAAATTCTACCAGTATAAGATTCCAATTAGTAAGTCTTATTTGAACCTTCAAGAACAAGATCCATATCTAATGCCAACGCATCCCATCAATATAAAGCATTCCATATTTTAATCAAGACAGCAATTTCCCTTCCAACGATATTCTTCAAAAGCATAAAATCTCGTTCATGTCAATGTATTCCGTATCACCTCTGATTGAGATATTTAATCACAAACTGGATTCGTATAATTTGCGTTACGAATGCCTCAGACATTCGTATATGTAAGTATATGCAAATTATAGTAATATGTTAAAGATTTTTAATTGAGTTATTATCTCTCTTTGTTAGCTTATGTATTTATTACAAGCTGAATATTATAATTGTTACTACACTTACCAGAACTTGGTCTATCTGAGTAGCGAGTACAGAATATCTAAATTATGGATGAGAGAGAGAAGGAAGAATTGCTAATTGAAGTACACACTTATTAATTGCATTATTATAATTGTAATTACCCATGCTGGCCACATTTTGTTGTCATCTTTACTAGCCTCTGATTGACAATCATCCGAGTCCAAACTTAAGCTGTCCACTGAAGACTGGGGTAATTTAAGCGTGTCAGATGAATTGGTTTGAAACGATGTCGGTGATGTACACGATGATTTTAATGAAGATGATGTCGATAATGATTGTGGTGAACTTTCTTGTCCAATTTGTGATATTGTTTTACATAAGCCACCAATCGATGATGGGATCTTAAGTGACGAGGCTGATGACAATAAGTTGCTGGTTACTTGACTTGAGTACTTTTTATGGTTATTGCTATTATTGCTGTTGTTAAAAATCTCTTCATGGATTTTTGGATATGCCGTAAAACTATTGTATAAACTATTTCTAAAACTATTATCACTTGACTTATATTGATTCTCCGAGGATAATTTTTTTGTACTATAATCAAAGATTTCTGATAATTTAAAGCTATTTAAAAATACGGAAGATGGGTTTATATTTTGCACAAACTTGTTGTTGCTGTTGTTGCTGTTCACTGAGTTGTTCAAACTATTATTGCAAATAAAATCTTTAATCTCAAATGGCCTAAACAATCTATCACTGTGGTCATTCTCAATCTTGACCGGCTTCGGACCAAAATTATCACTTAATATATTTGTTATTGAGAAGCTAAACTTCCCAATATTCAGACTATCTGATTTTCTTTTGTAATTTCTTTCATATGAATCATCTTCATCATCATCAACGTTAATGTCCATGTCTTCATCGTCCACGACTAGTCCATGTTTTGAATTCATTTTTATATCACCTGGTAATGGAAGTAAGAAAACAGGAATTTATGCTTAATTACATTTTCAATGAATATTTTATAATGTACATACACACACACATAATAATAATAATAATATTAAAAAATTTGAGCAGCGAGGAAGGTAAGAAAAATTCTTTTATGCTTCCACTGTGTCGCATATTATTAACGAAAATATTAAAGAAAGGGAACCGACTGTGAGTTTATTCACATATAATGTATAATGAATCATGTACTTACAAACTGTAGTCGGCGATGAAGCTGTTGATGAGTTTCGAGAAAAGCTGTTTGGTGAATTTGGTAGTGCTGGGCTGTTTGATTCAACAGTTGAACTATAGCAATATCTTGAGTCTTCCAAAGCCATTTTCATTAAGTTTCAACTTCAACTTTTTTTTATATTATGTTTATTACAAATTTCTGCTCTAGTAGGTAGCCACTCGAAACACTTAAATCATTTTTTTTTTCTTCTCTATGAGCACTCACATGTATGATATAACTTCTAATCAAAAAACCATTTGTACAAACTCGACACACCCAAATTACTCGTTCACTTCTCTTCTCTAATTATTTTATTTTTTTATATTCCTTTATTTGGCTCACTCATGTGAATTTTTTTTCCAATTTTATAATTTTCTCTGCTGTTCCTTGATTGCGTATAATTATAATTAATTAATTATTGTCACTCTATAGGCAAGCACACCATTCAAATAACTTAAAAGCTATTACAAATGATAACATGTGTTGTTCGAAATCGCAAGTTTGTTTTCACTTTACTATGCTATACTTATAACATTTCACTTATGAATGATGGAATGAAATGGTAGAAAAAAAAATATTTCTGATTTCTGTCTCTTTGCGATTAGTGAATCACCTGACAGTTTGAAATGAATGAGAGCTCAAGAAATATTGAAAATTGACTGAAATAATGTAGTTGTTTTTGTTATTCTTAAACGAATATCTTAATAAAAGAGCAAAAAACCGACAGCAATACTTTTTGAACAAAAAAAAAATACAGGCATAGAAGAAGAAGACAAAATCAACTCACAAAAGTTAATGTGTGTACATATATGTCAAGTTAAAAGTCACCAGCTCCTATACAATTTTACATGCAACTATGAACTACTGGCTTGTTCACAATGGGTACGAAATCACCAACACATTTATAGAGACTATGTGGGATGTGGCTTAGATTCTCATGTAATCAACCAGTAGACAATAACACAAATGTGGAAATATTTGATCAGCTCAATTATCCACAGCTTTATTAAATAAATTTCTGTTAAATTATACAAAAAAAAAAGTTTCAATACGTATTTTAACAAAATGAGATGTTATTTTGCTTTTAAAGAGAACATTGCATTGCTTTCTTGTTATTTCATATGATTAGTGTGTATTGTATGAAAAAAAAGAAACAGTTTACAACAAAATTATTACTGAGCTAATAAAATTAAGAGCTTTATAGTCAAATTAAATTGGCAATGCTTTCTTGCCTGCTGTTGTTGTTGTTTTTGTTGTTATTTTTATTCCTTGCTATTGATGTTTCTTTTGTTGTTGCTGTCCCTCAAGGAATCACTGTGAAAATAAATTGTTTCGTTACTGGCAAAACTATCATCGCGCACATATATGTAGTTATTTTTGAATGATTCTCATTTAGCTGAAAAAAAAATATTTATAATGAAGACGATTACAGTTAGATAGATTTCGATTCTATCAGATAAATATTGAATATCATCTCCTTAATGGCTTTCTTTTTTCCACCATTTCATTTTTTTTTTTATTTTTTTATTATTTTATTATAAGCGAATGAATTTTCTTGTCTATCCGCTCAAAAAAATATATTTTTCGTCTATAATAGCTAGCTGTAGGTACACAAAAGGTGCAGCTTAATAAGAATTTTAATGGATGAAATTTTTATTTTCTCTCTTCATTTCTGCCTATTTTTTTAATAGCTTAAACAAAGCATGAGATTGGAGATGAGCCTATTAAATTTATTACTTTTGATCAAGTTTAATTAACTCATCTTTTATTTCTGAATTTAGTGAGTTTTCTTGAATAAAAAAGAATTGTGATACTATTTAAGACTGAATATCAAACTTTTCTGTTTTATGCTAATTCTTTTAGCGTAATAAAATTCAATAAGCAGCACCGTGCCAATATGTTATGTGAATATCATTTTGAATATCGGATTTCATTAAAAATCTTTATTTTATGTTGGATGTCCATTAAAACTTTTTTTGAAGTCAATTTAAGTGCTGTGATGTTATTGGAATGGAAGTTCTCAACTTAAAATTACTTGTTGATTTTTAACTAGAGTGAAAATCAGGTTTTCTGATAATTAGATCGTCAATTTATGGAAATAGATTTTTAAGTGCAAAGAGGGTCAATTTCTTAGTCTTAAAAACCTAAACTTCATTAGAACTTGATGGTCTTACAACTAAAAATTGGATAAAAATTTACAAAAAATTTTGGGCAATTTAATTAAAGGTTTTATTTGAGTTAGCATCTTAACTTACTATATATTCAATTTTTAATTTTCTAGCTCTAGTTAAACATCTACTTCTCATAGTTTTAAAAGATATCCTTTAAAATTTGACCAAAAATAAGATAAATGCTCCATGCAGCTTCCTTTTGTTTGAGATCCCAACACAAAAATTAGCTTCGGTCCTATTAATACCACAACATTCAATTAGAATTCGGTTTTTGTCAAAATAAATATTGTGTGTCCAACTGAGTAAGGTTTCATCTGCGTAGTTTTGACACTTTAAGGAAAATATAGAATTGTAACCAACATTGTTTATAAACTAGCCATGAAAGATTAGTAAAAAAAGTTTTAATTTTAAAAAAAAGCATGAAAATGAAAGAAGAAGAGAAAAAACAATCCAACAGGGACCACTCACTACAAAAATAATAAATTAATATATTCACAAAAATTGAAAATTTTGTGTGAATATGATAAATTTTCATTATAAAAACAATTTCAAGATTATCCATTTTCAGGAAAAACAACTCAATACTTAGCAATAATCCCGGAAGAAATGCTTGAAATTCCAATTCCAAAATGTCATTACAAATCAATTTAAAATACAACTTCACATGCGCAACTCTACATTGATATGTTTCCTTATATTGAGCGTAATAAAAATCCACTAAAAATGTACGCGTACATTATCTATCAATGTTCCACTGCTCCCAAAGCTCATCCTCAAGTAAGCGCAAATTACGATTAAAAAATTTCTTATTTACATTTTCACATTATCTCATTTATTTTATGACTCCTGTAACGTCGAAAGAATGTAAACGAGGAAATTTCAATTATCTAATTAACTAATATTGAAACAATTAGCAATTATAAAGGTGTTAAATGTGTTAAATGTGCTAGGCAATAAGCCTTAAAACGATTTTAATTTATTTGCATTGAGCTTTCAATAATTTTTTTATTTTTTGTGGATTTGCTTTTCAAATCATTCCCCAAATTAGGCGCTAAATATATGTTCATACATCACTTACATTTCAAATAGGCAACCGTATGTAGAATTGTTGTGTTAATAGACTCAATAATTTATCTACACATTGCGTCTATCACATGGAAAAATTTTAATTATTCAGAAAGCATTTTGTGAAGCAATTGTTCGGTGATTTTCGAAAATTGTTTGAAGTTGTATAAGGCAGGGTTGATACAAATGACATTTGACTTTGTTAAGAGACTATCGCGGCTAGTTCTGATTTTAACTTCCACGCAAAAGCGTGTAAGTTATTAGTTTCACGAAAAACACACTTTTTTAATACAGCCTGAAGGACTCATTTTCAAAAATCTCAAAGGGTACCAAAATGTATATATTAGGAGGCCGGATCTTTTTGTACATAAACTTTTTTGGGTCTACAAATTTGGTGGTCAGGGTCACAGCCGAGCCATAAGGGTCTCGGAATATAATTCTTCTGCCATTTGATCACACAACATATGCAATAAGGGGGATCGAAAGTCATTTTTCGAAATTCTAAAATTTTCAGTAGTTTTGAAGCTGTCAAAGTTTGAAAACCTAGGAAAAATGGTCATTTTTTTAAAATTCTTGCGGCACTAGACTTTTTTTCAAACTGGATATTATATTGATTGCTATTTTATAGTCATCAGCAAGAGCTTTACAAAAATACCCCATATGACTATATTTTGACTTTACCATGACTTGCTATAGCCTCTTGAAAATCGAAAAAAATCGATTTTATATCTATATTAGCATTCTTTATCATTTATAATACCAAGATATGTTTTAAAATGCAATTTAAAGCATTTTTGGTTTCGATCATAGTAGGCTATTTTCAAAAAATATCGATTTTATATCTATATTAGCATTCTTTATCATTTATAATACCTAGATATGTTTTAAAATGCAATTTAAAGCATTTATGGTTTCGATCATAGTAGGCTATTTTAAAAAAAATATCGATTTTATATCTATATTAGCATTCTTTATCATTTATAATACCTAGATATGTTTTAAAATGCAGTTTAAAGCATTTTTGGTTTCGATCATAGTCGGCTATTTTCAAAAAAATATCGATTTTATATCTATATTAGCATTCTTTATCATTTATAATACCTAGATATGTTTTAAAATGCAATTTAAAGCATTTTTGGTTTCGATCATAGTAGGCTATTTTCAAAAAAATATCGATTTTATATCTATATTAGCATTCTTTATCATTTATAATACCTAGATATGTTTTAAAATGCAATTTAAAGCATTTTTGGTTTCGATCATATGGCTATTTTCGAAAACAATATCGATTTTATATCTTTATTAGCGTTCTTTATCATTTATAATACCTAGATATGTTTTAAAATGCAATTTAAAGCATTTTTGGTTTCGATCATAGTAGGCTATTTTCAAAAAAATATATCGATTTTCTATCTATATTAGCATTCTTTATCATTTATAATACCAAGATATGTTTTAAAATGCAATTTAAAGCATTTTTGGTTTCGATCATAGTAGGCTATTTTCAAAAAAATATATCGATTTTATATCTATATTAGCATTCTTTATCATTTATAATACCAAGATATGTTTTAAAATGCAATTTAAAACATTTTTGGTTTCGATCATAGTAGGCTATTTTCAAAAATATATCGATTTTATATCTATATTAGCATTCTTTATCATTTATAATACCTAGATATGTTTTAAAATGCAGTTTAAAGCATTTTTGGTTTTGATCGTAGTAGGCTATTTTCAAAAAAATATCGATTTTATATCTATATTAGCATTCTTTATCATTTATAATACCTAGATATGTTTTAAAATGCAGTTTAAAGCATTTTTGGTTTCGATCATAGTAGGCTTTTTTCAAAAAAATATCGATTTTATATCTATATTAGCATTCTTTATCATTTATAATACCTAGATATGTTTTAAAATGCAATTTAAAGCATTTTTGGTTTCGATCATAGTAGGCTATTTTCAAAAAAATATCGATTTTATATCTATATTAGCATTCTTTATCATTTATAATACCTAGATATGTTTTAAAATGCAGTTTAAAGCATTTTTGGTTTCGATCATAGTAGGCTTTTTTCAAAAAAATATCGATTTTATATCTATATAAGCATTCTTTATCATTTATAATACCTAGATATGTTTTAAAATGCAATTTAAAGCATTTTTGGTTCCGACCATAGTAAGCTGTTTTCAAAAAAATATCGATTTTATATCTATATTAGCGTTCTTTAACATTTATAATACCTAGATATGTTTTAAAATACAATTTAAAGCATTTATGGTTTCGATCATAGTATGCTATTTTCAAAGAAAATATCGATTTTATATCTATATTGTCATTATTTATCATTTATAATACCTAGATATGTTTTAAAAT